GTCTCTAAAGCTGAGAGATCTACAGCAATTTTAAAATGAATTATTTTGCAATAGCACAGTGGGTAGGGCATTTGCCTTGCATGTGGCCGACCTGGGTTCAATTCTTCTGCCCCTCTCGGAGAGCCTGGCAAGCTACTGAGAGTATCCCGCCTGCACAACAGAACCTGGGAAGTTCCCCGTGGCGTATTTGATATGCCAAACACAGTAACAAGTCTCACAATGGAGAGGGTACTATGCCTGCTCGAGCAAATCAATGAACAATGGGAGGACAGTGCTACAGTGCTACAACAGGAAAAACGAAAGTTTAGGGGCTGGGCCGGAGAAGGTGTGGGGTGAAGGCATAGAATGCGGCCACCCCAGTTCAATCCCTGGCACTATATGTGACTCTCCCAGCATTGCTGGGAGACCCTGGAAGTTGGGTGGGGGCAGGGGGAGCCCCGGGCATTCCTGGCACCCGAAGGCCTGAGTGGTGCTATACCTGTGGGCCTTGGCATGGAACCACTATAGGCCAGTTGGGGAGAATTGCTGGTAGCCTCCCTCAGGACTCCTGAGCACTGCTTGGGAGCCCCTCCCCACAAAAGTATTGTCTATGTATGTGCTTAGTAGAGTTTTATTCCTGACCGGGGGGGGGGGGAGTCCTAAATTCTCTGAAACCCCTGCTGCTCCTGCCCACCTCCCCATTTCTTTGTTTCCTGAGCATTTCCTGACCCCGCGGACTCCACGGAGCTCCCTGTAATGAGCTCCCATAGCCAAACAGTGGGGAGGACACAGCAGTGGAAAGCTTGGAGAAGCACCCCCCGAGTACCCCAGCAAACACACTGCAGTGGGGCTTTGCAGGATGAATAGGAGTTGCAGGAAATGAAGGGGAGGAGGTAGGAAAGGCGTCCCGGGCTGAAGAAACATCCTGTGCAAAGACTCAGAGTCAGTGGGTCAGGATGGGAGACCTGGAATGGGAGCTTGAGGGGGTATCTAGGCACCTGTCTTTGCTGGGGTGTGGAGGATAGGAGGGGATCCCGTGTAGGCAGGAAGTCGGAACCAGATGCTGCTGCAAGACCAGAGTCCAGTGAACTGAGTGACCTTGGGACGACGACTGCCCCCTCCTCCCATTCCTCAGTGACCAACTTAGAGATGTCACACTGGGCCCACCACAGTGGGAAGCAGCTCCTAGATGTGTGTGGTCGGGTGGATCCATGCATGAGGCTCAACCGCAGATAGAAACATACCTGCCTTCAGGGGCCAGAGAGATGGTACAGCAGGGAGGGCTCTGGCTTTGCATGCCGCTGACCCAGGTTTGATTCCCAGCATCCCTTACTCAAGCCCAACAGGAGTGATTCCTGAGTGCACAGCCAGGGTAAGCACCACCCGAATACCGCTGAGTGTGACCCCAAAACAAAACAAAACAATGAAGAAACAAACCCACCTCAAAGCAGACTGGTAGTTCTCTCCCGGGTGTGTGAAGCTCAGGGCATTAGAGTCTTTCCAGAACACGCCGGACCTGTGCCCTGGGGTCTCTCTGCTCCCTCCCTGCCCCCCACTCCTGCTCTCCCTCAACTTTCACGAATGTTCAGCAAGCACAGACTTTCTCCCCGCCAACTGGAGGCTTTTAACCAAGTCTGCGGGCAGGAGAGACTTTTTAGCCCTCGCCAGTTAATGCAAAGTGTTAGGGAGATAAATAAATGACAGAGCTGCCCATGGCGAGTCTGCAGTGAGGAGGGAGATTTGTCTCACTTTACAGGAAGGGGCTGCAGGGCTCAGCCCCATCGACTCTTTCACTGCGCGGTTATCTGCCGGCGAGGGGGTGACACGGTGACACCGCAGCAATTAAGACAAACTTGAGTCTCCAAGTTCCTGCCTGCAATCTCCTGGCTTCCAAACAAGACAAATGACACAGCCCAGGGAGGCAGGGAAGTCTTGTCCAGATTCTGTCCCGGGTCCCAGAGAACGGATGCGGTTGCTCAGCAGAAAATTTGTCATGATGAGTTCTGGGCCCATCGAATGCAGCCCACCCCAGTGCACGCAGCTCACCCATTCCAGGGTTCTGTGCCAGCCCAGCCCTCGAGGGCCCCTCTCTGCAAGTCCACTTTCCCTGCCCTTCCCTGGCTTACAGGCACAGGGACCCCCTCATGTGAGTCACAAAGGAAGCACTTGGAGCCCAGCATCATGCCTGCATGTGCAACCAGAGCCCACAGGGGTAGCTCCCAGTCCCCAGTGCATGCCTCTGATGTGCCCATAGTGTCTGGTGGACGAACCCTGCCCTTGAGCTGAGATGGGTGTTGCCATATGCCCTAGTATGGTCTCAGCACTTCACTTTTTTTTTCTTTTTGGGTGACACCTGGCTCTGCACTCAGGAATTACTCCTGGTGGTGCTCAGGGGACCATATGGGATGCTGGGAATGGAACCTGGGTTGGCCGCGTGCAAGGCAAATGCCCTACCCGCCGTGCTTCAGCCCCGTCTCAGCACCCCACTGACCTCAGAATGGATCCAGGACCCCACAGACTGCCTGCGGGAGAGCATGGGCTGTGGTTCCACAGCCTGTTCCTGCCAACATGCGTGCCAGGACCCCATCTCCTTCCACCCCTTCCCTCGACACCCAGAACCCAGCTCCAGATAAAGCTTGGGTAGACTGGGGTGGGCCGGTCACAGTCAGAGGCTTGGGGTAGTGTCTTAGCGGGCGGCACTGTCTCCCCACCTCTGACCTCACCCACAGCCTCATTTGCAGTCAGGCCCAGGCCTGAGCCCCAGAGAACAGACCCTCAGCACAAGGCTCCAAGGCCCCTCTGCTCAGCTGGGGCTCAGCTCGGGGGTGCTGGGTCCCACTGCTCTCAGTCACAAGGCCTGAGTCCCCCTGGGACTAGGGTCCTGTTTTCCCCGCTTCTGCCCCCACTGTTTTCTAGAGGGCAGCTCAAGCCTGGGCCCCTGGATGAGCAAACTAAAGCGTAGGCCCAGGGAGAGTGGGGGGCTAAGTGCTGGGGGCCTCAAGACACTTATCTCCAGGGGCCCCATGAAGGCCATTCTGACTCAGAATCTCTTCTCTTCCGGGTCCCCTGAAGTCTAGAGGCCCGAGGTCTCTGGCATGGTGGCGGGGGGGGGGGGGGGTCTCCAGGAGGTTTTGCTTAGAAGGCAACAAAGAGAGAACAGGGGCAAATCTAAACTGGTCTCGGGACCTGCTCTCCCAAACACACCTCAGAGCACCCCCAGGGGCCGACAGCTGGGACCTGGGGAGGAGTTTGACTCCATTCTGCATTTTTGTTTTTTACATTCTTTGTTTTGATTTTAGGGCACACCTGGCAGTGCTTAGGGCTAACTCCTGGCTCTGCACTCAGGGATCACTCCTGGGGGGTGCTTGGGGGACTCTATGGGGTACCAGGATTGAACCTGGGTCAGCCGTGTACAAGGCAAACGCCCTCCCCACTGTACTATCACTCGGGCCCCATGGGATTTTAAAGAGAGTGATCAGGACTTGCTGAGATGCCATTTAAAAAAAAACACTTTTATTGAAATAACATGAGTTTACAGCGTGATACAGGGAGATGCTGCCAGACAAAGATGTGGCCCCCAGTGTGGAAGGACTCAGGTGGACACACAGGGACAAGCTCAGCACTGAGGCCCGGGCCGCAGCCAGGAGTGACACCAGACCTGTCGGCAGAGCCGTGTTACGTTCTGGCTCATTTACCAGCCCGAGGCAGAGCTCTGGGCCTGGCCCTCCAAGTGGGTGTCAGAGACTCGGCCCCCCTCGTGGTCCCGGCCTCGCCCTGTGGCCGCCCGCCCTTCCCCATGCGAGAGGAGACCAGGCGCAGCTGTGTGGAAAGCTCCTGGAAGAACACATTGTTTGGAGTGGCCCCCCTGACGGCCTGGGAGGGGGCCCTGGAAGGGGACAGTGCGTGCATGCAGGGCACGCAGGAAGTCCTGGAGTTCTGACCTTTGGGCCTGGTGGACGGGCTCATGAAGGTTGTGGGAGTCTGCAGTGGAGCTGAGGGGGGTGGGGGTTATGGGGTGAGGTAACGGAAGTGGCTGGATGGGGTCTGCAGGCAGGGGGCCCCCTCCTCTGGCTATTTTGTTTCTGAGGGGCTGGAACCCATGCCTGGCAGGTTCTCTCCCTGCACCCCTGGTGGGCCTGAGGGGTTGATGACCACCAGCTTCCTCAGAATCCTCAGAACTGGTTCCCCCAAGCCGTCCCCAGGGGCCAGGGTGTGAGCAGAGAGCCTGCAGGGTCCAGGACTGTCCTGGGCAGCGCAACTGCTTTCCAAGCAACGGCGGTGGCAGGACTGTTCAATCCTCTAAGGGTGGCACATGAGTATGAGGGCGCAGACAAAGCCCCATCCCCCTTCTTCTCCTGGCACCAGAGCGCGAGGCACAGAGATGCCACTTGCTGAGCTGGGCAAAGGCTCTGCAGGTGTGGCAGCACCTGGAGTTAGCTTCTCACATGTCTTGAGGTCGCTGTCATGTCCAGGTGGAGCCTGTGCCACACTTACCTGGAGGGTGGCAGAGCTGGTGGCCTGGAGGAGCACTGTGACCAACCAGCGGAGAGGCGAGGACAACCGGGGGTGAGGTCACGGGTAGCGTCCAGGGCTCAGCAGTGCGGTTTTCTGCTCCTGCCACCCCACAGGGGCCCTCCACTGTGGCGTGAGTGTGGCTGGGGTGCTGCCAGGGGCCGGCCCGTGGGTTTGGGGAATGTCCAGCCAACAGGGGTACGTGGCACGGGGCAGCTCATGCTGGGTCCTGGCCCGGGAAGGCAAGGCCTGATTCTCCACAGGCCCCTGACCGTGACAGAGTCCGAACCACCAGGGGTGCTGGCAGGGTTGGGCCCCAGGGAACCGTCCCAGACACGTGCCCACACATGAGGTGGGCATCACGGGGACCTCATGCTCCCAGCAGCACGGCTGTGTAAAGGAGCATGTTAGGGGCCAGGGTGAGGGCAGTGCCCATCGATGGCTGCCTGTGGGCAGTCAGGGCAGGGGCACGGCCAGAGGGGGCAGTGGGCAGCAGCCGTAGAGGGGGCGAGCAGGTGGGTTCTTCTGGCTGAGTCTGGGCTGTGGGTAGCAGCTGGGTCCTGGGCTGTGTGGGTCGGTGCTGGTTCTGGTTCCGGGCAGCGGCTCAGGCTGGGCCCTGCTGGCTCCTCCTCTCCTCCAGGGCCCGGCACACCCACATGGACACCACCGTGGCATTGCCGTCGTCAAACTGCACAAGGAACGGGTGACCCTGTGGGGAAGAGAGCAGGGGTGACGTGGCCTGGCCTTGGTGAAGCCCACCCAGGAGGGCAGCTCTCAGCCCACAGCACGGACCAACAGCTTCCTCGGAATCCTCAGAACTGGCTCCCCCAAGCTGTCCCCAGACCTGAGGCCCTCCAGGAGAGTCTGCTGAGATCCCTGTCTGGCCCTCACCGCTTTCTCTGACACGCCCTTGGGATGGCAGTCTGGGGGAGGGGTTGTGCGGGGGGGGGGGGGGCAGACAAGCCCCAGGAAGAAGTGGTGCCCCAGGCTTGGGCCCTGGAGGGGCTGGTACCACTTCCACACACTTGTCTTTGGCCCATGGTGGCTGGGGTCCGTTCTCTTGGACGCCTTCCCAGTCCTCAGCATCGAGGCTGGGTGGTGGCTAGGCACACAGCTCATGGGGTACACGAGGGCCTGAGCCCCCCCGCCCCCCCGCTCCGAGTACAGCTATATTGAAAGGAAAGGACATGAGATTCACAGCAATAGCACAGCATGGAGGGCACCTGCCTGGCATACGGCAGACCTGGGATGGATGAGCTGTAGAACTCCATGTGGCCCCCTAAACACCATCAGGAGTGACCCCTGACTGCAGAGCCAGGAGTAAGCCCTGAGCACCCCCCTCCCCCCCACCACACGCAAAGATTCCCCACACTGGGGAGTTCCAGGAGTGCAGCAGGAAGAGGGGCCTGGTGTGAGGCAACAATCAGGAGGGCACAGAGACGGGCTCCATCACCTGGGATTTTTCCTCCCCGCTTCCCTTCCATCCCTGGACATGGGCACTCAGACTGGAAGCCCCCATCCAGGCGGGGCCAGCCGGGGCTGCCTTCCGGTGCCCTGCCTATGGCATGTGGGGAAGGTGCCCAGCTACCACTCAGCACACCTGGAGGCCCAGGGGGCAGGTGCACATGTGGGTGCAGCTGGGGGCTGTTTTCCTGCAGGAGCACAGGCCTGGTTGGAGGCTGAGGAGGAGGGGGCCCTTCTGTTCTCCCAGGAGCCGCCCGCCTGCTGGTACTGCTGCCGACTACATCGCGGGGGCTGGGGGGAGCCTTAAAGTCCAGCAGGCCGTGCCCTGGGCATGGCAGAGCAGAGGTGAGAGCCGGTACCCTTGTGAAGAACAACGGGAGATGTGGAAGGGGGCTAGGGCTGTGTGCCCCCAGAATGCCCGCCTTCGGGGCCATATGCTCGTCTGCTGGGGACACGCTGAGCAGAACATGGGCTGGCGGCTCCTGTTTCCCTCCCTCCTCACTAGAAGGTGACCAGGCTCCAACTGCCCTGCCAGGGGCTTCCTGGGACCAGGATTCTGCAGGAAGAACTGAAAGGAGGTGTTAGGGGGAGAGGTGGGTGGACAAATGGACACGGGGTACAGTGAGGGGAAGGGATCCATGCATGTGGGCAGGGCAGCTGTGAGCAGAGAACCTCCGGGAGGGCCGTGGGGGTGCTGGAGGGCAGGAGTGTGGCAGGAGAGGGTTGTGGGGTCTGGGGTACCCCCAGCACCGAGTCACGGGTTCTGGGGGCCCAGTGGGGGTGCTGCCTGGGCTCTGCGGAGTGGAACTGGACTCCATGACTCCATGTCTCTGACCCATCCCAAGCCCATCACCTGCGGATGCTCCGGGATGGCCCTGGTGGATCCACACCAGCAGAGATGCGCCTCACTTGATGCTTTTGTCAGTGTATGGGTCAGCCTGGCCCGAGGGGGCTGAGGCTAGGTGGGAGGCTGGTCAGCGCTGGCCCGGGGCTACCTCGAGCAGGCTGACAGGGAGGAGGCTCACGTGCTCACAGAAGCAGGGTAAGGATGATCCCAACACAGAAGGGGAAACTGAGGCCCCAAGGCTTGGCCATGCTGTCCGAACTCAGAGCCAAGGGGCACTGTGTCCCACCCGGCTTCCCTGCTGAGCCCATGCACGGCACTGGGTTGGGGGAAGGGCTCCGGGCCCCACAGCTGGACAGGTCCTGTCACCTCTGGAGCCACAGGCGCCAGCGTGGCCTGGTCCACCTTCCTGGACAGAAGCATCCCCTGCCCCAGGCAGAATGGGGGCACAGGGCCAGTCTGTAGCTGCTCCCTGCCGGGAACAGTGGGACCATCATGGCCCACAAACTTCACCCCAGAAGGGAAAAGGCGGGACTCAGCCCACCAGTGGCCAAGGAGAGGGGACCCACAAGCAAGCACTGCGCCTGTGTCCTCTCTGGTGCTGTCCAGTGTCTACCCGGGGGGATGCGACTTCCACAACCCCCTACTCCCAATGTCTGCCGCCCCCCAGCTGATACCCAAGAACAGACCCCCAACACACACAAGCCCCCTGCCCCCTACCCCGCCCCCTACCATCCCTGTGCAAGGCGGGAACCTTCCCAGCACTGTCTTTTTGAGGAAGGACAGAGCTGGTCACTGCCTGGCAGGGCCACAGTGTGCCCTGCGGCCAGGAGGTGCCATCCTGGGGTGCGCGAGGCCAGGGACAGCAGATACTGTGCAGTCAGACCCGGCAGGGGGCAGGCGGGGCTCGTGGTGTTCCCACCCCCAGGGGAAAGTGTCTCCTGTGTCTCCAGGTGATTCTCCTTTGGGTGAGCACACCTGAGGCGCTCTGGGATCTTGGGCGGCCAAGCGGGCTGCCGCTGTCCCATGCCATCTCACTGGCCTGTCAGGGTGATTTTCAGCTGAGCGGGGTCCCGTTCTCCCCGGGGTCCCTGTTCTCCCCACAGGCTGTGCTGTGGTCTCCACACCCCTGCACAGATGAGGAAACCAAGGCCTGGACAGGCCCCTGGACTTGGATTTGAAGCCACTGACAGCCCCAGCTCTCAGTCTCTGGGCTGCCCCCTCCCAGGGGGCCCCGAGCTGTGGCAACAAGCCCAGGCTATGGCTCTTACTCCCAAGGATGAAGGCCCAGGCCCACAGTGCTGTCAGGGCGGTGGGGGACCTCAGGAAGCACCTGAACCTGATACGGGCCCTTGCGGGGCTTTTCTTTACCCCCACAGATGCATCACACCCTCTGCCACAGCGGGCCAGTGGCCACTCACTGACTCCCGGAGCTCAGGCTGGCAGCTGTCTGGGGCACAGGTTCAGCGGGCCACGAGACTACCCTCAAGGCTTGACAGTGATCTGCCAGGGCCCACCCACCTTCGCAAGTTTATTCTGCGCAGTGGCTGACAATGCTTTTCAGCAACCATTCAATTCTCAGCAACCCACTACTTGCCTCTGCCTGTCTCAGGCTGAGCACTGGCACCCGAGGGGCTCGGGAGCGCCTATCTCCCTGCAGAGCTGACCCACAGTCTCCAACAGAATCAGCAGCAGCCGTAAGTCACTACAGGCTGTGTACAGAGACAGTGCAGGGTGGCCGTGGAGGGGGCTGGGCTGACTCCAGGGGGTCATGGTGAAGGTGGCACCTCTGTGATTGCATTGGCAGGGGCTAGCTGATCAGGGAGAGCAGCAGAGTAGTTCGTGGACAGGTGGACACCGGTCTGCAGTCTGGGCTCATTCAACTACATCGATGTGTCCAGTGTCCAGCAGTGGGGGTCCGTGCCAGCCGAAGTGTGTGACAGGGGCCATGGCAGCTGCTCGAGAGAGGAGATGCTGGAGATACACAGAACAAGGACCCTGGGGCCACTGGGGACCCAATGCATTGTCCCTGGGCCTGAGAACCTCAGCTGATGCTCAAAAGGAACACTGATTCGACTGAATGACAGTCTGGGGTGTTTATTTGAGAAACCAGTCCAGGGCCAAGCTTCTGGAAATCTAAAACCTCTACAGCAGGAAGCCACACTCAGTGTACGGGTCCAACAAGGCTCCAAAGCCCGAGAAGATCCCTGTGCTCAGGGATCCCTCCTGGTGGGCTCACCAGGGACAGTGTGTGCTTCATGACACCCTGTGCCAGAAGATGCAGCCCAGATGATGGAGAGTCAGAGAAAACATCAATGTTTGAAAAGATGAAAGACACCAAAGAAGAAAATGAAACAGTAAGAAACCAAAAGATGTGTGGAATTTGAAAAAAAAATCCACGGTAACTTACGGAATGAGACATTTCTGTAACATACAGACACTGGAAGAAAACAATCTGGGAGAGCAAGAAAGCAGACTGGATGCAGCTGGAGAGAGACCCAGTAAATCAGAAGAATAGACGGAGAATATCATCTAGAGCACAGAGTATACACATGAAAAGACACACATATATGTACACACATATTTAAATTTTTAGTCTTCAGGTCACACCTGGAAATGCTCAAGTATTACTCCCAGCTCTGGGTTCAGGAATTATTTCTGGCAGGCTTGGGAGACCATATGGGATGATAGAGATCAAACCTGGGTCAGCCGTGTGCAAGGCAAATGCCCTACCTGCTGTGCTATCTCTCCAGCCCCTGCATACACATATTTTAAGGTGAAAGAGACAGCACAGCGATTGAAGTACCTGCCTTGCATGCAGCAGACCTGGGTTCAATCCCAATCCTCAGCATCCCATAGAGTCCCCCAAGCCCTACCAGAAGCACAAGGAACAACATCAGTGTTGCCCCAAACCAAAACCAAACAAAAGAAGGCACAGTGAGGGAAGACAATATCCAAAGAATTAATAGTTACAAATTCTGGGCTGGAGTGAGCCCGGGGCTTAGGCAAAGGCCTCGCACGTAACCAACCCCGGCTTGATCCCCGCTACCAAATGGTCCCTTGGGCATCACTGGGCTCAGCCCTAGAGGTTTCACGGGGCCTGAGCAGCACCAAAACCTCTGGTTCTCACTCATACTGGCCTTATTGATCAAGAATCACTGAACTGGTCCTCAGCCTACTGAGCACTGCTGAGGAGCACCCCTCAAATACACCCCCCCCCATCTGAATGCTGAAAAATCTGTGAATTCTGAAGATTTAACATGGCAATGCACTCCAAGGAGAATGCAGTGACAAAAGCCACAATGAGCCAAGATGGAGGTGGCAGCAGGACCTTTGGCAGTGACGAGGGTGTGGAGAGGAGGGCAGAGGCCCCAGGAAAGGAAGCTGCGGAGACTCAACAG